AAAATATGATCTTGAATATATCCCTCCTGAATTTAGAGACCATCTAAAGAATAGATTTGAGACATTGAAAATCAGTTACCAAAAACCAGATAAATTGTGGGATGACATGAAGAACAACATCCATGAAGAAAGCAAAAAGGTCATTAAAAATACAGTAAAGGAAGAAAAGACCAAAATGGATATCAGAAGAGACTCTGAAACTTGCTCTTGAACAGGAGTATCTAAAGCAAATGGAAAAAATGACTAGATGAAAGAGCTGAGCAGAAGGTTTCAAAGAGCAGCTTGAGAAGACAAAGTCAATTATAATGAGTATGCAAAGACCTGGAGTTAGAAAACCAAAAGAGAAGAGCATGCTCAGCATTTCTAAAGCTGAAAGAACTGAAGAAATAATTTAGGCCTCAAATTGCAGTATTGAAAGATTCTATGGTCAAAATATTGAACAAGGCAGGAAACATCAAAAGAAGATGGATGGAATACACAGAGTCACTGTACCAAAAAGAATTGGTCTATGTGCATCCATTTCAGGAGGTGGCGTATCATCAAGAACCAATGGTACTGAAAGAAGAAGTCAAAGCTACCTTGAAGGAACTGGTGAAAAACAAGGCTCCAGGAATTGCTGGAATACCCATTGAGGTGTTTCAACAAACAGATGCTACACTGGAGGCCCTTCCTGCAAGGTGCTTCTGGGTGGACTCCAACCTCCAACCTTTCAGTTAGCAGCTGAACACATTAACTTTACACCATTCTGAGACTCCTATGTCAACAGTAGGGAAACTAATAGGTTTCTATGCCAAGAAATTTGGAAGACAGCTACCTGGCCAAGTTATTGGAAGAGATCCATATTTGTACCCATTCCAAAGAAGGGTGATCCCACAGAGTGTGGAAATTATTGAACAATATCATTAATATCACACACAAGTAAAATCCTGCTGAAGATAATTGAAAAATGGTTGCAGCACTGTACTGACAGAGAACTTCCAGAAATGCAGGCTGGATTCAGAAGAGGACGTGGAACAAAGGATATCATTGCTGAAGTGAGATGGATCTTGGCTGAAAGCAAAAACACCAGAAAGATGTTTACTTGTGTTTTACTGACTGCAAAAGCATTCAGTTGAGTGGATCATAACAAATTATGGATAAGATTTAGAAGAATGGGAATTCCAGAGCACTTAATTGTGCTCATCAGGAACCTGTGCATAGACCAGGAGGCTGTTGTTCCAAGAGAACGAGGGGATACTGTGTGGTTTAAAATTAAGAATGGAGTGTATCAGGGTTGTATCCTTTCACTGTAGTTATTCAATCTGTATGCTGAGCAAATAATCCAAGAAGCTGGACTCTGAAGAACACAGCATTAGGATTGTAGCAAGACTACTTGACAACCTGTGATATGCAGATGACAGCCTTGTTTGCTGAAAGTGAGGATGACTTAAAGCATTTACTGATGAAGATTTATGACTGCAGTCTGGATTACACCTCAACATAAAGAAAATCAAAATCTTCTCAACTGGGCCAATAAGCAGCATCACAATAAATGGAGAGAAAAATCGAAGTTGTCAAAGATTTCATATTGCTTGGTTCCACTAACAACAGTGGTGGAAGTAGCAGTCAAGACATCAGATGACGTATTGCACTGGGCAAATCTGCTGCAAAAGACAAATGTGTCTTTGAAGACTAAAGTGCGCCCAGCCTAAGCCATGGTAATTTCCATTATTTCATATTCATGTGAAAGCTGGACAGTGAATAGGGGAGACTGAAGAAGAGTTGCTGCTTTTGAGTTGTGGTGTTGACAAAGAATACTGAAAGTACCATGGAGTGCAGAAGAGCTAACAGATCTGTCCTGGAAGAAGTGCAGGCGGAATGCTCCTTGGAAATGAGAACGGCCAGACTTCATTTCACCTACTTTGGTCATGTTGTCAGAAGGGACCATTAACTGGAGAAGGATATCATGCTTGGTAAAGTGGAGGGTCAGCAAAAAAGCAAGCAGGTGAATTGACGCAGTGGCTGCAACAATGGGGTCAAGTATAGCAAGCGTTGTGAGGCTAGTGCAGGACGGGCAGTGCTTCGTTCTGTTGTACACAGGGTCCCTGTGAGTTGGAGTCGACTCAACAGCATCTAACAATAACAATAACAACAACATACTGATATAAAGGTGCTCTGGTGGCACAGTAGTTAGGCATTTGGCTGCCAATCAAAGGTCGGCAGTCTGAACCCACCAGTCACTCTGCAGGATTAAAATAAGGCAGTCTGCTTCTGTAAAGATTTATAGCCTTGGAAACCTTATGGGGCACTTCTCTGTCCCATAAGGTTGCTATGAGATGGAAACAACTTTATGGCGGTGGGGTTTCTTTTTTACACTGATGGAAGGACATGATTGAATAAATAAATAAATGATGGAAAATGGGCAAATCTCTGGTACAGAGAATTCCAAATAATTTGTATAAAAACTATCCCCTCAAGGAGGTGTAGTGCATACCTCCCCACCCTTTAAGTGTGTGATATACATGGTGATTCCTTTTTCTAAAGAGTACTTTATGGAAATGGAAAAAGTAGTAACTTCACAGTGAGAAACCTTATGAAAGCTACCTCAGGCAATTAGGTGATATCGCTGATGAGTAATGTTACAGTGTAATAGGAATGGCATTTCACTTACGTCATCTTCCTGCTCAAAAACATTGGCTCCTGTCTAACCATGAGGAGAAACACCAATCCCAAGTTGAAGGGCATTCTACAAAAATACTTGAGTAATACTCCTCACAACAGTCAAGGTCATCAAAAACAAGAAAAGTCTTCGAAACTTTTGCAGCCGAGAAAAACTGAAGACTTGATAACTAAATGTATTGCAGTATCCTAGATAGAATCCTTGAACAGAAAAAATACATTAAGTAAAAACTAAGGAAATCTAAATGAACTATGGACTTAGTTAATAATAATATATCAATATTGGTTCATTAGTTGTAACAAATGTACAATAGTAATGTTAACAATATCACTTGCCATTGAGTTAACTCTGACTCATGGTGATTTCATGTGTGTTAGAGTAAAACTGAATTTCATAGGGTTTTCAGTGGCAGATTTATTGGAGTTGACCTTCAGGCCGTTCTTGCACAATGCCCCTGAATGTACTCCAGCCTTCAACCTTTCAGTTAGCAGCTGAAAACATTAATTTTACACCATTCAGGGACTCCTATGTTCACAATTGGGTAACTAATATGTAATGAGTGACTGAATGAATGCACAAACCATCTGATTTCTTTTGATAAACATAATTCCATATCTTCATTTTCAAGATTTCTGTGTACAGCTCTGAATACTGTCATGTTCAAGGTATTTTTGTTTTTAACACTTTCTATGCATTGGAGCTCTTGTGGTGTAGTGCCTAAGGCATTTGCTTGCTAACCAGAAGGCTGGCGGTTCAAACCCACAAGCCACTTCTCGGAAGGAAGACTGGGCAATCTACTTCCATAGAGATACCGCCTTGGAAATGCAAGGAGGGGTCGCTGTGAGTTGGAATTGATTGGACGGCATTGAGTTTGGTTTTTATTTTTTTTACTTTTTGTTTGCTTATGTACTTGGGAGAGACTTTGGTTCAGAAACAGTATATATTCAAAAAGCAAATCCTAATGACAATGTAAGTGCCCTGGTGGCTCAGTGTTTAAGTGCTTGGCTACTAACCAAAAGGTTTACTGTTCAAACCCCACTTAGCAGTTCCATGAGAGAAAGATCTAGCAATCTGCCCTCATAGACATTACAGCCTAGAAAATCCTATGGGACAATTCTACTCTGTCAATTTGGGTCACTGTGAGTTGAAATCAACTTGACAGCACCTAGTAATAACAGCAGGCCCTTAAATGAGGCATTCAAAATAGAAAAGACTTTTGATCAGTGATAGCCTTAGGTTTTTACTTAATAGCATGGTATTACTGTGAATTTTTATTTTTATTGATCAGGGAAACCCTGATCACTGTATAAGTAGCAAAGAATTATTTTAATAAGAGCAGATAGAAAATTTGTTTTATGATCTTATGAAAAAGTTTATTTCTAAAAGTAATTAAGTTCAAAATCTAAGGTAATAAGCCATCTTATAAAAATTGATTAGTTTCTGTTCTCTAGGAAAGTGGAGTTTCTTGGTACTTGGCTACATTGATTTTTTATTGTATTTCATCGAACTTTGATAAGAAAGTAAAACAGGTCAACTTAAATCATAGCAATCTCTATGGCTTTTATCTTTTTTGTTTATTTCATCTCTTTATTATTAACTTTTCATTTACTGTGTCTTATTTTCTAGCTTCTTGGAAAGATTGCTAAATTTGTTTATTTTCAGAATTTGATATTTCTGACTATAAATATATTTGTAAATACTGCCTTTGCTGCATCCCACACATTTTGAATTGTAGCTGCTTTCCTTATCATTCAGATCTAATTTTATCTCAAGTTGCATTGTTATTAGAATATGTAGTCAATATGATGGAAATTCTTTGAAATTTGTTGGAAGTCCCTTTATAATTCTAGTACATGGTTATTTTTGTAAATGTTCCATTTATGTGTGTATATTTTCTACTTTTTGGCTACCTGAATCTCTATGTATTTATTCTGTTAGGTTATTAATGATGATCACATTTTCAAACAGTGAGTTTAGCTGTCTATGCACCTAGGAAAATGATGTTAAATAATCTTCATTTTAAGAATCTTTAGTTAAGGATGTAAAGAAAATCTACCTTTACATGGTTCACCTTTAGATGTTAGTTTAAAGATACTAACGTTTATTAGGCTCTTATTGTGTGCCAAACACCTTTCAAAGCTTTCTAAATTAGTTAATTAATGTAATGCAATAACAACAGCTCTGAGATGCTGTTTTTCCCCCTTATTTAATAGATGAGGAAAGCAAGACACAGACAGGTTAATATGCTTGCTTTAAGTCATCTAGCAGATGAAAGGGCTCTAAACAAACACAAGTTTTTCAGGTGTGCATACAATATTCATTTTTTCTTTCCCGTTTTTAGTTATTAGAAAAATTAAAAGAACGTTGGCTGTACACTGGCTTATGGCATAATCTGGAATTGGTGAAGACAGTCATTGCAGAACCACAAGGAGGAGACAAAACTGATTTTGATGAATTACTTCAAGTATACTATGATGCAATCAAACAAAAAGGAGAAAAAGGTAATTGAAAATAATTTCATAACCAGTGAAAAAAAATACTTTTATAATAATGTAAGAAGAGATTGGTGTTATTAGAATTTATCTTATTTTGCACTTAAGAAAAAAAAGGTATTTTATAATCCTTGGTGAAAAGAAAATAAATTATTTTATTTAAGGTTGTTCTTTTATGGATACTTTTATTTGGGCATGGCAGTTCAACATAAGAAACAGCAAGCGTTTAGGTATTAGACTGTGGTCTTGCTTACACCACCTGAAATAGTTTGTGTAAGAATCAGTTAGGGGATGCATAAACATCATCCTTACTAGCAAAAAAAATGAAAGGCGCTCTGATGGCATAGTTCCTAAGGCATTTGACTGCTAACTAGAAGGGCGATTCAAACCCACCAGCCACTCCGCAGAAGAAAGACCAGGCCATCTACTTCATTAAAGATTTACTGCCTCAGAAACCCAAAGGGGGTCGCTATGAGTTGGAATTGACTTGATGGCAGTGAGTTTGGTTTTTATTTTAGCAAAATGAGCCATCTGTTTTGATGCAAATAATGTACTTTGTGCTATATTCTATTATATAAAGTAAGCTTGAGTTAACTGAAGAACAGAGAAGTTATTGCTCTTAGCTTATAATAATAATAATAATAATTTATGAACAGTGTGATGTTATGCAGATACCCAAAACCAAACCTATTGCCATCAAGTTGATTACAACTCATAGAGTTGATTACTCTATAGGACAGAATGAAACTACCCCATAGGGTTTCCAGGGCTATAATCTTTATGGTCGCAGACTACTACATCTTCTCCCTTGGAGCAGCTGGTAGATTTGAACTGCTGACCTTTTCAGTTACTAGCTGAGCACTTAACCACTGTGCCACCAGGGCTTCTGTGGTGGTCATGTTTTTGTGTCAACTTGGCTAAGGCTGGTTGAGTGGCTGGGCAGGTGGATATAGTATTCCCCACGATGAGACTGGTAATCACCTCCGTGGTAGAATCTACTGTGAGCAGCTGAGTAGCTGCCCTAGGGATGTGGTCTGCTTCCTGTGTATAAGCAGAAGCCTTGGGGAATGGGCTTTACCTTACGGCACGGTTGGACCCTGAAGGTAGCTGTGTCATTGTTGAGCAGCCTGCCATGCTCTGCCGACTTTGAGACTTACATTGGACTTGAATTAATGGCCTGCCGTGTGGTTTGGTAACATTGGCACTGTGCCTTTTTACTTGTCAACCTTGGGTTTTTCGGCCTCAGCAGTCAGCAGCTGAGTGAAGAAACGCCTCTAGCTCCAGAGGGCCAGGAGTAGGAGGCAGAGCTGGATCCCCAAGGATGAGGGGCTTTCACCCAACCCCTAGAGCTTGGCACTTTGAACTTGATGTAAAGCCTCCAAACTGTAAGAGAATAAACTCCTGTTTGTTAAGGCCATCCCATTTGAGGTATATTCCTGTCAGAGCAGTACTAGGTAACCAGAACAGCTTCTTCTTCTTCTTTTTTTTTTTTTAATTGTGATTTGGGTGAAAGTTTATAGAGCAAATTCACTTTCCATACAGCAGTTCACATACACTTTGTCTCATGACATTAACTACAATTTACCCCAATGCAACAGCTCCCTTCCCACTTCCTCCCGATAGTTACCTCTTTCTTGTGTGCATCCCTCCATGCAGTCCTGCCCCCTGAACTGTCTCCCTGTGCATAAACAGCCCCTCTTTCTCCCATGATTGTTCTCTCCAAGGAGTGTGTCTACCTCAGGTACATCAGAACCGCTTCTTATAATAAAATTGACATTATCCTTCTATGATAAGATCATATGTGTGTGTGTATAAAATATGTATACACACATGTATGGTGAATGTGTGTTTTAAATACTTTTTAATATGATATTGATTCAACAGTATACATCCCATATTCTTTTGTACATAGGGTATACATATGGTCACTATGAGTTGGAGCCAACTCAAGGGCACCTAACAACAACAGCAACATGTTGCCATCTAAATGTAACTTTGTTTCACTTGTCTATTTAAAAGCATTGAACTTTTGAAGCTTAATCTCAGTAGTGTTGGATTTTCATTTTTAAAATTTGCTACTATGATTATTCAATAATCAGATCTTTTCAAAATGACAGTAATAAGCAAAATCTAGGCAATTTTGAGTGTGATTTTTTTTCTTTTTAATCCTTACTTTCTGTTGTTTAAGATGGTGCACTCCTGGTAGCAGTTTGTCGTGGTAAAGTGAGTGAGGGTCTGGATTTCTCAGATGACAATGCCCGTGCTGTCATAACAATAGGAATTCCTTTTCCAAATGTGAAAGATCTACAGGTAGGCCATCAAAACCATAATACATTTTATTTATAATAGATAAGTTTGATTTTGTGTGAAGTTAATTATATGTGTACCTTTTACCTCAGACATTCTAAGGAGCCCCGTTGGTTAAAGGGCTCGGTTGCTAACTGTGAAAGGTTGGCAGTTCGAAATCACCAGCTGCTCTGCAGGAGAAAGATGTGGCAATCTGCTTCTGCAGAGATTTACAGGCTTAGAAACTCTGTAGGCCAGTTCTATCCTGTCTTGTATGGTTGCTATGAGTCAGAATTGACTCAATGTCAGTGGGTTTTGGGGTTTGTCAAGTATTTTCTTTTAAATCTTTCGTGGCTCTGAATGAGTGAGAAAAGTTTAGTAGATATTGGTTTGTTTTATTTTTCACTTACACTGTCTTTAGCTGAATTAGAATGACTCTGAAATTGTGGTCGTGGGGTAAAGAGCTTCAGCATCACCTGGAAACTTAATTGAAATGCAGATTTTCAGATATTATATAGACCTAATGAATCAGAAATTCTGGAAGTGTGGGGCCCAGCAATTTGTGTTTTATCAAGTTCTCAGTTACAGACTTACAGGAATGCCCCAGGGAATCCTAGGACCCTTTTTTACCTAGCTCCCTTCTCTCCAGTGCCCTCCCCTACAGATTTCAGCTGCTCCAATGTCTTTCATCTCAACTCAGTAGGACCACTGTGCTCTGCCTGTACTCCAACTCTGTGTACTGCTGTCAGAAAATTATACCCAAGAAGAGAATTGGGAGTAATGGAGTTTATCTAATGAATTTTCCTTATCTCTGGGATTGCAGTTCTGTCCTGCCTTATGTCTACTTCCTGAAAGCAGTTGCTCTACCTGTTTTGTCCAGTTTTACAGTTATTTGTAGTAGGAGTGATATTCATAAACCATTTATTCCATCTTGGCCAAAAATGGGAGTTTTCCCTCATTATATGACTGGTTGTTTGCTCAACATTATATTTGGAAAACTATTTATGGAAATAATGTGAGGCCTAAGGTGATAGTATCTTCTACATAGCAAGATTTTCTTTTATTTCTTATAAGCATTTGAAAGTGCTAGCAATCTTGAGACCAAGGCTTAAGGTTTTCTGGCCACTGAATTGACTCCGTTGAGTACAATCTATATCCCTCATCCCAAGGTTCAACCTTTGGGGTCTCCTACCAGAGTAGGAGTTCTTTCGTGAAAGTTATCTTATTTAATTGTCAGTATTTTACTAGGTACTGTGATTTATATAATTTTTACTTTTATTTCTCTAGGCTATACAGTACTTGGGTAGCATTGATATTAACAGTAATAAACATTATTTCCCTGGTTAGTCCCTGCTTCTTCCCATAACTTTGAACCTCTTTGGAATTTCTGAAAGTTCTCAGGGAGTGTCTAACCTGATGATTCATAGTCTAATCCTTTCACCCTCCCCTGATTTTCTCCCGCTACTAGTGCCACCATTGAGGGAACTGATGGTCATGCCTAGAGTTGTGTCTCCTGTTTTAAAAAGGCTGATGCTGCCTCTGACTACTGCTGGAATAGTTGACATCCACTCAAGAAAAATTATTGTGTCCATCATCATCAGCATTAATGCTACATTCAACTGAAGCTATGTGCTGCTGATGACACTGCTGTTGGCATTAAGGCTTATTTTATCCTTCTGCATTATGGGCAGTCCTGGAGTTACAAACAACGCTGTTCCTAACTGTCTTTAAGAATTTGTTGAGGCTTTGAATCAGTTCTACCCAATTCAGTCATGGTGAGGAACAGTTACCAGAATAAACTTTAATTTTTAGCTATGGTGAATCAGAAAGATAACTGGAATGGGAAACATTACAGGTTAAAACCTTGCTAGAAACTTAATTTCCTCTTAACAAAAGAAGGACTGTTCTGGTTACCTAGTGCCATTCAGAAAGAAATATATCACAAATGGGATGGCTTCAACAAACAGGAATTTATTCTCTCACAGTTTGGAGGCTTTAAGTCCAAGTTCAAAGTGCCAGGATATAGGAGCTGGGTGAAAGCCCCTCAACCTTGGGCTTCAGCTCTGCCTCTTGCTCCTGGCCCACTGGAGCTAGAGGCTTTTCTTCACTCAGGCAGCTACTGACTGCTGAGGCTAACAAGCCCAAGGTGGACAAATAAAATGGCACAATCCCAATGTTACCAAACCACACGGCAGGCCATTAATTCAAGTCCACTGTAAGTCTCAAGGTCGGCAGAGCATGGCAGGCTGCTGAACAACAACACGGCTACATGCAGGGTCCAAGCATACCACAAGCTAGAGACCATTCCCAGAGCTGCTGCTTATATACAGGAAGCAGACTACATACCCAAAGCAGCTACTCAGCTTCTTGTGGTAGATCCTGTGTTAGATTGGGTTCTCTAGAGAAACACAAAAAACCAGCAAAGTATATATATATATATATTTAGAGAGAGAGAGAGAGAGAGAGAGATTTATCTTAGGTAAATGGCTCACAAGCTATAGAAGCCAACAAGTCCAAGCCGAAAAGTCCGTCTCTGGAGGAGATGGGGCTTGCGGCTGCCTTGGCTTCCGCAAGCACAGGGGCCGAGAGATTCAAGCTGGCATGCAGTATAATGGTTGTTGATTCCAACAAAAGATGAATCCGAGATCTCCAGGCCGAGTGGTGGGCCGCTCACTCAAGGAAGTCTGTCGTTAGCACACCAGGGTTCCAATTCCTTAAGGAATGCCGTTCTTCCAGATTGTCCTTGGATATCATTGCAAGCAGGCCACACCCCTAGGGAAACTCCCCTTGGGCAGACTGGCCACTCAGAACTCAGTCATCTGATCCCATCATGGGAACAACCACACAGAACTGGGGTCCAGCCAAGTTGACACACAGCTCCAACTATCACAGATCCCACCATGGAGTTGATTGCCAGTCTCATCGTGGGGAATAACTACCACCAGCTGTCCAGCCACTCAACCAGGCCCAGCCAAGTTGACATACAAACATAATCACCACAAGGGCAGTGTGCTCACTGCATGGCAACAGTGTCTCTTGTTCTTGGATTTAGAGTACAGTCCAAAGCAATACTGCCTCACTCACAGATGATGGTGCCTCATTCAGAGATGGCAGCCAACCGTACCATTTTGAACGTGTGTTGCTGTCCTACAGCCTTGCCAATAATCCAGTCTCATGCATCAGACTCTTGAAGGGACTCACTATGTCTTTTGTGAGTCTTCCATTTTAGGGTTTCAACCTGTAATTTCTCCCAATTTAGGTACCATGTTGAATCTGCCAAACTATAAAAGTCTGGGTCTAGTCCTTTTTCATTTTGTTGGCCATGACAGAACTAGCTTAAAGGACAAGTAGTTGTCCACATTTGTAATCCAGGGACTGCCTGTATTATAGACACTAATTGCACTAATGCTACTTTGTTAAAGTGGAGAGAATCCTTTTCCCTCTCTTTCTACCACACTCAGTAGCAATGTTTCCAGTGTCTTATATATAAATTTTTTCCCCCTAAAATTAGCTCTTTTGGTTTTTGTTTGTATCATTTTTCTTTCATGGTCCTACTCATGAGTGTTTGAGAGCTGGAAAAGATGAACTTTGTAACACTCACAAAGTAACAAGACCTGAAAGAATTCATATCAAACTCATAATAGTGATTGCATCTGAGAAGAGAAGAGAATGATATTGGGTGTAGTTATCAAGAGAAATTTAACTTTTTCCATGTCAGTGGTTTTTTTTTTTTTTTTTTTTAACTTTTTAAAGTTTCAAGAGAATATGGTGATAGTACAGCTGTTTATTATGTTATTCTTTGTGCTTCATTTTGTTTTAAAATCATTAAAAATTTTTTTAATGTTATTTGTGAAGAAAAAGTCACTTGTATTTTCTCCAGCCCACCCACCTACAATGATTCTGACCATTGTTATTGTACCAAACGTGGGTTCGCCATGCTTTTTTTTGCTCAAGGTAACTTTCTGAGACAACATCTCAGTCCATCATGCAAAAAAGATACCTGGTAGCATGCTCTGACATTCCTCAGTCATGGTCCTATTTGTCGTAATGCTGCTTATCTGAATCCCAGTGGTTCGTATTGCATAAAACAGCAAAATAACAGAAACGTCATTGAGCTCTAGGTAGGGAGAAGGAGGAGAGTTCTAAAGGGGTTTCCCTGGTGGCTTCAGAGAGAGGGAGAGGATAATCCATACCTTTCTTCCCAAGACACAAACTTAGTTAACAAAAAAGCTGAGTCATATCCAATGATGTAATAGCTGACAGACTTTTCCCACTCTTGATAAGTAAAAAGGTCTGTGATATACAGTGAATTAACTAGTACTTCATTTGTACTTTCACTCTCATTTTTAAAACACATACTACACTGCCTATATTGCAGTATATTTTAGTGATAATAAATGTTTTATAATTTGTTAGAATGTGTGCTGTGAAAATGGACAATTTCTTAAACATCTCTGTATCTAATTAAAATACTGCCTTGGATTATAGTGAGTGCTTAATAAATACTGATTGAGTTAATGTTTAAATCACGGTTTAATATAAGTTATTAACATTGTATTAGGCTTTATTGTTTGTTCAACTTGACATTGACATTGTTATTTAAAACAACAAATCTTCCATTCCTAGAGACTTTAATTAAAGCATATGATCTAGCTTCTATCTATAGTTAGGGATGTTGTTGTTAGTTACTGTCGAGTCAGTTCTGACTCATGGCGACCCTACGTACACAGCGTGTAGCTGTTTCTTAGGGTTTCTAAGATTGTGACCTTTCAGAAGCAGATTGCCAGACCTGTTTTTGAGCTGTGGGTGGGTTCGAACTGCCAGCCTTTTCGCTAATAACATAAAAATAAATTAAACCCATTGCCATGGCCAGTTCCAACTCATAGCAACCCCCATTGGATTTCCAAGGCTGTAAATCTTCGCAGAAGTAGATTACCTCATTTTCCTCCCATAGAGCAACTGGTGGGTTTGAGCCTCTGACTTTCTGGTTAGCAGTCTTACCCACTACGCCATCAGAGCTCCTT